CAAAGTAAACGGAACGAAGAGCGAATGGTGAACGTTTTGTGAACGGTGAACGCAATACTGTGAACGGAGAGCGAACGGTGAACGCGCGCGGAACAAACGGTGAACGAACGGTGAACGAACGATGAGCGAACGCAAAAATGGGAAAGTAGAACGTTTCAGGGACTGTACCATCTCATGTTTTTGAGATAAAGCCCTCCAGTTTTTAACACATTTTTAATGTGATAGTGTATCAATATACATGTACATGTAGAATTAAATAGTAAACCTATAATTGGAGAGCTATATCTTGGAAACTGCAGACAATATTCGTACCTTCAGTGTATTTTCACAGAAGTAGTAATTAAGCACTAGTATCCTAGCCTCAAAATATCAAACACCATGGCTTATTAAAGAAATCTGATCTCTGATTTCGAACCGAGTTCTTGAATCAAATCACGTTTAATTGCAAATTGCAAGCTGCATTTCGAAATCTGATTGTCCATTTATGAAGCAACATATACGGAAATGATTTGCAACTGAAACTCATGCACATGCAATTAAAAATATACCTTTTTTATCCAATTGAATATGCAGTGCAAATTAGATGAACTTTGGCCTAGAAATTTGTCTAACTTACCGCCTATGTTTTTTAAAAAGATCTCCAAATAGAATAGGATTTACGAGTTTAAACACCCCTTCCCATTTTTTAAAAATTGTCTGAGGTTTTTATTATGTAAATTGAGCTTTCTTCTCTCTGACTCCCCAAACTCAAACTACTTTTTAAAACAAAATTTATGTTTTTGATTTGAGGAATGAAAAATGGCGTGATAAATCTGTAGCAATATGACATTTACAAGAAAATTCTTGACTGTATTATAATAAACCCATCAAAAGTATCATTAAAATCTTGTAAAAAAAACTCTTCTGTTCTGTATAATTGTCTTTGTGTTCACGAAATCAATGGATAAATATTCAGTTGCATATGCAGTAAAACAGATTTAATCCAACTATATGTAACACAATTGTTAGTCATGTTAAGAATGGTGGTTGAGAGATTATGATATTGAATCTTTGATAATTGCGCTCAAAGTCAAGTGAGTTTGTTGATTGACGGAAGCAAGTCACTACATTGAGAGTTTTAAGGAAGGTTACATGGAAAGGGAAAAAGTTATTATTCATATATTTATATCGACTGCATATTTATTTTTTCATATCGACAATACTTTCTTGGAATAATTAAATATCTTGTTTTGATCGATATCTGAAATTATTGACTGAGGATTCCTTTTATCTCAAAACAAGTCTTCATTTTCTCCAACACATGAAAAAAATACAATACAATTTAATCTCAGCGTTGATATGTTTCTTTTCAATTGATGTGGAAAAATCTAAGATATTCACAAGGGGAAACAAATTCCTTTAAAAATGGTATAGGAAGGGATTCTTCTTGTATTTCTTGTATATAAAAAAAATGTTTACAGATTCAAGAAGACAATATCACTAAGTGATGGAATCATTTAAATTGAATTCGACCAAATTTTAAAAAGTAGCAATGCCAGGTCAAAGTCATAAATAATCTTTTCCCTGGACATTAAGAATAAATTTAAATACTTGCCAAACATGAGATACATACATCTTTTCAAAAGATTTAGTGTTTTCTTCTTGCATAAAATTATATTATCTTGCAGAGTCTCTAAGATGATATTGCCAAATTGGATATTGTCTGATCCTAATTTTCTCTACTTTTCTTAGTGCGTTAGGGTGTTTTAATATTTGAATGCTTTTTATTCTTCGGATATATAATATTTTATTTAAGTATATCATAATGTGGTCATATAATTGTACAAAATTATACAAAAAACAAGTGTTCTAAGAAAGGGAAGAAAACGTTTTACGGATTATGTGCTAAAATCTGAACATATATTGGAAGCTTTAAAAGCTGATATAATTATAGTTTGTTTGTAAAATCATATTAAATTGATATTCGTATTTTAGAATTTTAGCCCCCCATTATTAATTAAAATCTACATTTGAAAAAAAAAAGATCATCAAGTCTTTAAATCAGGTGACATAACAGTTTTAGGTGTTATCCGGCATTTTCAGGGTTTATAATGAAACCTATTAATTTGTTACATGATAGGACAATCCATTCAAAATATTTTATAACTTAATTGATGTTGAATCTTTATTCAATTATATGAATGACTGCGAAGAATGAAGACAAGAAGGAATCTGATAAAATTATCATGAAAATTCTAATAATAATATTTGAAATTTATAATCGTGAAGACCAAGGTACTATTCCATGAGAAGAAGTGTGTGTGTGTGTGTGTGTGTGTGAGTGTGTGAGAGGGTGTGTGTGTGTGTGTGAGGGTGAGGGTGTGTGTGTTTGTGTGTACGTGGGAAATGTATTTGTGATTTTGATATTCTTTAAAATATGTGCTATTGTCGTTTTATGTTATGATAGACTAAACACATTTTAAATAGAAAATTGTTACTTTAAAACAAAGCCCTGCTTCGCTTTTTCATACAATAATTTACTTTTCTTTAATAAAATTATAAACGTGAAGATGGTAACAAAATGCAATTTGAGGGTAATGAACAAAAATTAAGTTGGATTCATGTCATCATTATATGCAAACTGAAGTCTTCTGTTTTCATAAGCTGTGTACAAATTATTATTTGCTGCCACAACGTTTTTAAGATATATTTTTATAAGATTTACTATATACAGCCATTCATTATTACGTCTGAGACAACCATTTTTGGTCACATATGATTTACATATTTACGTTATATTCACATTGTAACGTCACAAATATGGAACAAAACATTATATTCATATGCTATTCATGGAACAATTGTACGACGATATGTGTGACAAGTTTTATTCTGATTTGAATTGTTTTGAATTGTTGTTTTTTTTTTTTAAATGTAATAGTGATCACCTCTCGTTTGTTCAACAACCTTAAATAAAAAAAAATAAATAAAAATAATAAAGTAAATAAAAAAAAGCAATTGATTTTAATTTGCCTAAAAATTCATGAGTTATTGAAACTCACATGTCAAATGTTCATTATATTCAATGTCTCCCTGGAGCATGCACCTGTCACATCATTGATTTTCCAAAATTACATGTACTTGATCAGTAAGTTTAACCTTCCAGTAAGAATAGCAGTATTATTCAATCCTTCAGCTTGGACATTTCAAACACTATTACATGTATAAGATGGTGCCACAGTTGTTCAAGGACGACAGATGTTCATAAGAGAGTCCATTTTATTGGGTGATTGTAATTCTATTTATGTAAATAGTGTAAATCATTAATGCATATTTTGAAATACGCATGCTCGGCTTTAATGTCGGCATTTTGGGAAAAAACTCAGTCTGTGAATAGATTTTCTGTGCAATAAGAGTTTCGTTGTGTTATTAAATAACTCTGACCTTTCTTGTTTTGATATGAAGTTTGTTTAGTTATTGTGTAACGTATACTTTAAAGTTGTAAACAAATTTTTGCTACAACTGGCAGGGTTAAACAAAATAAAAAAAAATAAGACAAAAGGACATGCGCATGCGCCCGTGAGAAGGAACAATTATAAACTTTAAATTGACTAAAAGACAGAACAAGAAGTTTCTTAAAGATTGAATTAAAATCTATCGATTTTAATTTTTCAATGGCTGTAGGTGACTTTTTTCCCTTGCCTAGGCTCAATACGTGAGTAAAAAGTATAATACATTATTAACACGTGACTTGTAACTCTCGATTCCCGCCTACATTTTGGAATCATTGATTTAAAAAAGTAGCAATTTGGCCTCAAATTTTTGTTTAATACAAAGAACAGTTCGATGGTAATTGATGAATTGTCTTAATACCAGCGCTAAACAGTAAATTATCCATAGTCCAGCTCTTGAAAATGTGGGTTATTGTTCATTATATTCGGAGTTTCAAGCATCACCAGGTTTTGAAATAATCTTGGATTTGATTAAATATTCATTTAATCTTTTATGTTTGAGGCAAATAAATTAAACAAAAATATATCAATAAAATATGTTTCAGTTGTAAATCGCTTTGAAATTGGTAGGAAATAAACATTTTTATCGTTTTTGTCAATATGTGACCCTTGTGTCACACAAAAAGCTTTGGAATGAATTTGTAAAATATCATTCCATATTTCTTGTAAAAAGGAATTTTCGTAACATGGGGGCATGTTTAAAAATTATTTTCTATTTCCCGTTTGCCGTTGATTTCTTTAGTGAAAACAAGTTTTACTTAAGTTTAAGAGTTATCTCTCTTTTTTTTCAAATAAATAATGTTTTATGAAAATCCATATTATTATCTATAAAAAAAAAACATTAAAAATTCATCGAGTGTGTTTAACTTTTGAATATTGACTTGGAGGTAGGCGGGAGAACAATACTATCGTTCGCAGTTCTTTAACATGTTTGACTACAATTCATAAAAAGGCATTTTTTCAAAAGAACTTCCTGGAATCAGGTTGTTTTGGAAGACCTTCGAAAAAGTAAAAGAAAGCTAAACCTTAAATTTTAAAGAATTTTCCTTGCATAAGTTACAATTCACAGTTGTACTATGGGTAATTTTTGAAATGACTTAATCAGACTATTTTTTGATATCTTTTGCTGAAATAATTTAAAATAACCACTTAACTGTTAATATTTTTTGTATTGGATTTAATCATCCTTTTCTTTTTGGTTTTTTGAAATAGAATGCCGAAAAATGATAGCTGTGATTATTAAGAACTTCAAAAGTTAAAAAAAAATATGCAATGTTTATTGTTTAAAAAGGGACTTAGGTGTTTAAATATACTGAACATTCAGCCATTACATATCCGTTAAATTCATTCCGTTCCACTGAATTTTAGACTTAATATAGGCCGGAAACCACAATTATTGCGGAAAACCATTATTTGTGAACTTAAAAATGTTCTGTTGTTTTGTTTTGGAACAAATGTAAATCATAACAAGTATGTATTAAAGTTTTCTTTTTTCTGTTTTTATTTAAGATGAAGATGACGTTACTGAGATGTCAGATTATGAACTTTCTAGTGACTTCGAAGGATTCTTGACACCGAGTTCAACATTGGTAAATTAAAACTTACTCTAAAATCGCTGAGAGTAACATTTTTTAATTGCATAATGAAAAATAGAATTTCTTCAAGGCAGGGATTATAATTTTTACCTAACAAATTTAAACTTTAAGAGCCATTCTCTGTAATGACTTGAACTTTTATATAGGAGCTGTGGCACGCATAGTCTCAGAATTTCTCCAAACTCTCTATGATAAAAGTCTTTGATACCCTAAACTGAAATCAGGCAAAAATTGGTTGCTATGTTTTATAGTTACCATGGCAACATGTCTTAAAGTTCGAAAAATGGCATTTTTTAACATGTTTAGAGCCCCATAATTAACATTTGCGGCAAAGCAAACAATTGGCAATGACTGTTTCCAAACGTTGAAGGTCAGATCAGGGATTGACATTAACGGTTGTCCGATTGCCCGGGACAAGTAAATCATCAGTTCGGGCAAGTGAAATCATCGTTGTACTTGTCCGATCGGGCAAGAGGATATTTCTGATAGAAACGTTTTTGTTAATCTTACATTAGTTTATAAACAAAACAATGACTTGAACAGTTGATTTCCCCCAAAAACGTGACATTGTTTTTGCATTCGGAATCCCTCGGTAACGTTTCTGGATCATACCTTATTTAGAAATAGGGTTAGTTATGACAACTTATTATGAACTTACGATACATTCTTACGATATATATATAACAGAATAGTTTATTTAATCACTTACAGAATATAAAGAACACCAGTTGTTCTCGGTATTGATGTATCTTGATTCAAAACATGATAACTGTTTTCCTTTTAGTTGACCTTAATCGCTTGGGGGGGGGGAGGGGTAAATTTTCAAAAAAAAAAAGAAAAAAAAAAGAAAAGGAAATTTAATATCATTAGTGCATTGCTGTACGTGTGTTTACAGGATAGTAAATCACAGGAAAGTTGTTTGCAGTTAAGTTTAAAATAGAAATTAGTTTGTTAACTCTGTCATATTTACAGTATCAAATTAAGATACAGTAACTGATATTTTTTTCTTTAAAATTTTTGGGCAACCAAGTTTTGCGTTCGGACAAGTCAAAATTGTAGTTCACTTGCCCGAAGGAAAAGTGAATATAAAAGTTAATGTCAATCCCTGCAGATGTCTCAAATGCATGACAAACATGTTTGGTAAATCAACTATTACATACGTTACTATGATAACAAAGTATTCAAAAGTAAAAAAAAATATTCATTGAATTTTATGAAGTCATACACGTAAAAATAAAAAGCAATTATAGGATGAAATGTAACCAAATGATAGAAAAAAGAGCCTTGAAACATATACCAAAAACAAAATATGATATTTCATTTTGGTTGGCAATGGTTGCCAAGGTTTTTTTTATACCACAGAGAGACTTCAAAGTAACACTCTGTATCTTTAAATCTAATCCTATCTTTTAAAAAAGCACATTTTCTCATAACTAATTATCAATTTTGGAAGACGTTGGTGTGCTCCTAGTTTTCCCATTTGAAAAAATTCAGATTAGATTCTTTAAATAGAGCGTTGCTATGGAAATAAGCAGAAAATATATGCTTAAAAACCTGAAACATCTTTTCTGTCCTTGGATACTTACCATTAAATGTAGATTCCCAAAACTTTTATGATTGATATTTATTAACAGCTAACCTGAATTTTAATTTTAAGTATCATCCAATCTCTAAGTGGATGCAAGAAGTTGACACACAGGGTTTAATATTGATATAAAGTTCACAAAATCGAACATTTTCCCTTCTTGGTAACCATAGTGTTGTTTTCTTCATCAAATTTTATCAATATATGACATTCAACTTCAGTTCTAACAGATAAGTACGATTCAAGCTGAGTCCTTTAATTTGTTTCTTGATTATATGGCAATTTAAATCTTAATGCAGCGAAAAAAAATTCACTTTTTAGTACTAGTACTTTGTTTCCATGGTAACACTGCAAAGTAGCGATTATACCCAATAATTCTTATGGTTTTGGTGTTGTAAGGTCCTAAGGATGCATATTTGCCAATCTTGAATTTTCCTGTTTTTCCTCAAAACAGTAGCATTAACCCAAACTTAGTTACTGTTTTTGCATGGTTACACTGTGTTACCATGGCAACCATAAAAGTTATTTATAGAATAATATTGCTTATACTTAGATACTTAAGGTCAAACATTTTCATTGTTTTTCTTAAGAATTTGATTGAGTTTGAGCATGTAACACCTACCATTAGTGAATACGGAAGGTTTTTCAGCATATTTCAGCATTTTAAATGTATTCCAAATGTAACCTTGGTTACCACTTACTTAGAGATATATTCTAAACAGTTTCTTTACAGTATACGTGACATCAAGATGTCATGTTTTTGTGAGAATGATTTGTTTGCTTTTTCTAGTTTTTATTAAGCCACAGTCAACATTTAAAGTAGCTGAAAATCTCGATTTTTAATTTTTCCGGCTGTTGCCATAGCAACCGAGACACATAGCAACGAAATTTTGTTTGATATTTGTTTCTGGTGTCATGTACTAAGTATGGGTGAAGTTTCATCAAAATCGGTGACCATGCGTGGCAACGAAGTTTAAGTGGTTACAGAGAATGGCTATTAAGATCTAAGGAGATACGTGTATGCAACTTTGATCAACTTTGACTTTGATATTTACTTTGATCAATATAGATACTAGATAGAATTATATATGAAATGATTTTTTACAGACAAAATGAAAGATATACAAGATGACGTAAGCTTTTCCTCGTCTATATTCCTTATAAGAATACAATTGTATTTTTATTCTAATTTACGAATCGTTATATTTCCAAATTCATTTTAGATTTAAAAGTATTCACTGAGTACGGTCACTCTCTCCAAAGAGATAGATATTGACAAATAACATTATTTCGTCATACTTAGACTAATCTACTTCGTACCAGCTGTAACGTTTTTGTTTTAGCACTGTCTACTTGTATGATACGAACAAAAATCTCAAAACTTGAAATGTGTCCGTCGTCCAATTAAAAAAACTCGAGTCCTGGATAAAATAATCTAACATAGATCCTGGATGTATTTTTAACAAATGACCGGAAGCACTTCATTCAACCTACACTAAAATTACTGGCAAACAAAAATAGTTTACTTTGTCTCAGCATATGTCTTTCGATAGTCTCAAAATACCTGCCGAAAAATTTTACGTTAATATCGTAATTATTAAAATCGTTGTGCCCAAAAGTGATGCTGAAATTTTCAAGAGTGCAACGTCATGTTCGTACATTTTGAAATTTCAATATTTTTTGGAGATCTGTAAAACAAATAATAATAGTTTATGTTGAGAATAAAGATTTTCCTGAAAATAGTTTTAGGAGTGCAATAATTGATGTTTTGGTCCCAAGCCTGAAAAAAATATAAGCATTATATGATGTTCTTCTTTTTTTCTTTCTGGATAAAACATTTTCTTTCAAATAGATATATCAAAAAGAGGATCTATCTGAGATTCAAATTTATATTTGTATGGTTAATAGTGCAGTTTTCTTTATTTAATGACAGAAACACTTCGATTCATGCTTAGAAATATTCATTGATTAATAACGATCTCATTTTTCGGGAAAACTCACTTACTTTGCTTTTCGCTAAAATTTCCACTCATACGATGTGTTATAAGCAGTTGATTTTTTATCTTTAAAAAAGTCCGTTGATTTGATTTTTAATAAACCCTTCAATACTTATCTATATATAATTAAATCTTGATCTTGAATTCGGTAAATTATAATTCTTTGGTTGAATAAATCTTGGTAAAAAGGTAGCCTTTACTAGTTTTAATAACTGTTTTTAATAATTGACGTATTTGAAGACGGATGTTGCCCTTGTAACTGAAAATAGCATATTCCTTAAAATTCTATTTTTTGTCTGAGAAGACTTTTTCATAAGTAGTGCAGTAGACTAAGAAACACATTTTCTTACTATAAGAACACACCAGGAGAGCTGCACTGTACAAACCTGTAGTTTAAATAAGGAAAGTTAAATTTGGCAATATTTGGTAATCAATTACTTGAACAATTTTCCGATAGATTAACTGTAAACTTCTGAAAATGAAATTGTTAAAATACAAGTTTATTATTCTTTAAGAACCTGTTTAAGACTTTGTTTTTACGCTACGGGCAACAATCTTTAGCGGTAAAACAATCATGACTCTTCGAATCAAATTCAAAATGACGACAAAATACAATTTATGAGTATTGTAAAGGTATATATATTATAATTTAACCATACACAGAGACATAAGGGTAGTCAAGGGAATCGGTCTTGCAATCAATCTAACACACGATGTCTCTTATGATCCATTACTATCTTATGTAAATCAACAGTTAGGTCTACAACACAGATATTCGCACCAAACTTTAATCTGTCCTTTTGAAACGTTTAAATAGTCTTCTTCAAAAGGTAAAAAAGACCATTTTTTGAAAGTAGGCTCGGGTTTGAGATTATGGATTCTGCAAATAGGTTTTGTAAAACCCGAACATTTATGTGGGAAAAAATGCAGCTATAACAATTCGTCTTTCCCTTAACCTTGAACATGCCAGTAAAGGAATTGTCGCGGTTAACATTAAATTTTACCTTGTAATATCATTAATCACAAAGGGTCCAGTTTTGTATATCACCACATTTCAAGACTTCACCTTGTATTTTCTACCAATATACATTGATATAGCTTCAAAACTCTTTAATTACAAAAAAATGACCTAGATATCGAGTGTCTGAAGCATATAATCCTCCATTATGTTCATGTCCTCCATCGTGTTCATGTTGTTCTTCACCCGTTAACTATGAAACTATGTTAAAAAGTTTTTAAACGTGATTACTTTAATTAACTTTTCTATCATTAACTTCCCTAACTTATGCAGCAGTATACCTTCATCACCTGCGAACGGATTTTATATATCTCAAATGATTTGATATGCAAGACATACTCTACAAATGAATAATTTTTGCAACGAGGAAAATTATTGACCAACAAGTTAATAAAACAAGAATATCAGCAATTTCTATCAACATCATCATTTGGAAAGTTTTATGCTCGATACAATGACACTTTCAGCAGATATAACTTTTCATCGAGTCAAATACTGATTGACATGTTTCACAAATTGTTAGTCCATTATTTATACATTGAATTGACGATGGAATTTTTCATCTGAATTTGTAATGTTTTGAAGGCCCGTGTCATTTCTGCTCCTCTTTTGTATTGTTTTATGGAATTTTGATCATCATTTCTTTTCGTTATCTCCATATGTTTCATCATAAATCTTTCTGCGCTCGAGATCACAATTTTTTAAAAATGCCTATGCAATGTACATGTAAATGTGCGAAAAAGTGAGATGCCCTTTGAAGCATCGTATCTCTGAAAAGAAAGCTGTATTTTTTCAGAATCATGAGAAAGCTCCAAATCTTTGCATACTCATTTATAATATGCAATTATATATATTTAGTTTTATATCACGCAAATGGTGCGCTTACAATACAACTTGTCTGTGGACTTTTTAAACAGCCTTCGTACTTATAACAAAAATACCCAGCAAAGTATCTTTTATAGATCAGCAATTATCAAACTTCTGCGGTTCTTATTTATTTAGCATTGTATCAATGCAATTTTGATTGATTAATTGTATGTTAAAAAAGATCCCTCTCGAGAGTTTTTCACTCAAATTTCTTATACTGGGCACTAAAGGTCATTGAGCAATGAAGATCTTTTTCCTGCAAGAACCCTTTTGCAACACTTGACCTCGGTTTATATGACTTCCCTCGAAAGACCAGACTCCACGTCCGACGGTGGAAGCTAGTCGAACCTGCGATGTATAGAATGAATCTTACTTCACTACTGTAGAGCAGCCGTTCTAAACACTGTTGACAACGTCATTGTATCAACCATAGAACTTCACTGATATTGTTTTGTCCGTGTCATTGTTACCTTTTTCAAGTTCATTGGGATACATCGTATTCACATATGAATGGAGACATCTGCATTGATATAAGAAACATGTATGTCGAGTTAAGAGCCTTTGCAAATGTTTTTCTCCTCTCATGTAGCCTTTTTAAAAAACATTCTGCCTCCTTTTAATGTTAGCTTACAAATTCCATTCAATTCCATATGATATTCGCAAAAATATATATAAAAGGTGCATGAACACAGATTTGAAGTTAATATTTTCTGTATAATATTACAACTTATCTATTTTAATAGCATTTCACACAAAAACATATTAAAAACCATATTTCATCTAAAATTTTACAATTTTTAGTTTTATTCTTAATACTTAGGAATAGTGGCAATATTGTTGCAGTACCGTTAAGGCTAGCTATGAAAAATCAACAGAAAAAAGACGTGCAAAAACGTGCACTTTTTAAAACAGAATTTATTTTCATAAAACATAATATTGATTATACGTAGGAATTCTGACACAAAAATAATTTTTAAACGAACTGATTATTTTAAACCATTCATTCATATTGTTCGGATTCCTTTGGCATTTCAAGGACAGTACATGGAGAGTCAAATTACCTTGAAAGTTCTCCAAATTACGCGAATGCAAATTCAATGTTACGCCTCACTATATACAAAACAGAAACAAAGTTCAATTTCTTTTTATTAATACATTTGACTGTCTTTTTGTAATATTTGATTTGTATTTGAAATTAGTTTCATGTACGCTACTAAAATTGTGTGTTGAATATGAAAACATTATTTAGAAGTAAATTTTGATCACATTAGATTTTTTATATGCATATAATCAAAGGAAGTTTTAAATTTAAGAATTAAATAAAATGTTCTTTACTGTTTTTGTGAAATTGAAAGGTATACACTTATTTTCCTTGTCCCCTTATCGACATGTTTATTTGTAAAGCTTTTTTATAAGTCGTATGCCTTGTCCTTCATTCCTATGCAGATTCATAAGATCGTTGAAATCTTATCGAAAATGTATTGAAACATGCTTAAATAATGTGTTGCATTTTTAGGACGAAGACTGGTCTATAAAAAAAGTTGAAAAGAAGATATGTGGTGAGATTTTTTCAAAGAAAAAATGTTTAAAATTGATTTTTGTTTATAATACAACTTGTATAAATTTTAAAAAGCATACTCTGGAGCACTAACGTTTTAAGGTATACTTTAAAACTTAAAATTAGTTCTGTACGTTTCATATTAATACAAACGGAAAGCAATACTTTAGGGTTATTGAACTTATATCGGTGAATATTGGTTCTCGTTGGCTGTACAAATGCACGAGATTGCGAGTGCATGTGTACAGCCAACGAGAACCAATATTCACCAATAAAAGTTCACTGATTCCTTTATTATATAGCTAAAGCGTATCCTCATAATTTATGATATTTATTAAACTAAAAAACCTCAAAATAAATATATTTTTAGTATTGGTATTCAAATTAACGCCTGTCCTGCAAGTGTTCAATATCGCATCATTCAGATTACCCTAATGAACGTTACGACTTGCTTAACTACAGTACCAACCGAATACAACCTAACAGAAATCGAACCCTGAGTTTATCCCGGGTTCGCTTCCCGGGTTCATTCGGATTCCGCTTCGAGTTCATTCAGAAATTTGGGACAGCTCTGGGTGCACCTTTGCTGCGATCTGAGTTCGCTCCGCGTTCATTCGGGGTAAGGTCTGGGTACGCTAGAGCGATACCCGGCTTTCGCTTTCTGGGATGAAGCGGACCCCGCTTTAATTTTGCCACCAGTAGGTCCCTTATATATTCCAATAATGAAACTGTGGAAGCAGTCTTTTATTTTTGCGGCGATCGATACTTGTACACTTGTATACAGAGACATTATGGAGATCATTGATTATTTTTCCAAAATTCAACTGTAGATTCGACGTAGAATTATAATTGATTCTTTGTTTTCGGAATGTCGATTTCGGGAAATTCCAAGTTATTGTACAGCGGGTTATTTGACATTTATTTTACTTTATTTATAAAGTGAAAACAAGAACAGAAGAGAAAGAAAAAAGGTGTTAAATTGATTTTTAATGTATCGAATGGTGTACAAGTGAAACTGTCGAAAACATCTAAACAACATACCTTTCAAAATCATGCGTTATATAGATTAAAGTTTTATTTGACTTGTTATTCTTAATGTTTTTTTAAAATCGTATTTTAAATGTTTGACAAACACATGTATTGTGATATCTATATAAATTAACCTACTGTACACGTAATATATTTTATTTCACTTAAAGTAGTTACACATTGAAAGTTCGTAATAGATATTGACTGGACATTTATAAAAAAGTTTAAATCAGATCTATAGTGCGCCAAGAATTAAGGAGATTATGGTTTTTATCAGAATGAGAAAAAATAAAATGACAAATGATAATGGTTCTCCCGATAAGAATATCTTAATTTACCCCAACTCTGTTGATTTTTCGTAAAATCCTTGTTTTCGATCGGTTGAAGTCTGTCACGTAAATAGGGTGGATTACATATACCCGAGGCCTGTTCAGCAGAGCAAACGTTCACCAGCGCTCGCCAAAATCCCTTTTACATACAATAGAAATGTTCGCGAGCACTCATGAGCGTTCGCTCTGCTAAACAGGCAGCGGGTCAGTTGTAAATCTTCACCCGGTCAATTGTAAATCTATACCCAGGCTTAGTATTACGTAACAAAAACAACGTGAGGCCATAATAGACACAGTATAAGCGTGCTGAAACATGTAGCAGAGAAACACATTTAATAAACCACAGATAATAAGTAAAAGTTTCATTGGTGGGGTAAATTCATTAGATAGTCTTTTAGTGACAAGGTACGGGACGATACCTGGTTAGTAAATTCCATAACTGACTCGGCCCCGCCTCGTTAGTTGTGAAATTTACTAAGCAGGTATCATCCTGTACCCTGTCACTAAAAGACTATGTGATATTAGATATGTAGACACTTAGAGGGGTAATACAGAAATATTTCCGTATTACCCCTATAAGTGTCTACATAACGAATTTATCCCGCTTCAAACAAATTTGTAAATTACTGATTGGATCAATCACATGACGCCCTGAAATTTTCCGTATTACGTCGCCGTCAAGGAGTAATAGGAAATCGGCACGCGATTCCGTTCCAAGCATTGCTATTGTAAATAATAATGAGGGCTGTTATTGGATTGAAACATGCTATTTCCATAATGTGCACATAGATTTTTTTAATATTTAAGAATTTACGTCGGGCCTTCAGCGGGATAAATTCGTAACACAGTCAGATAGTGACGTAATACGGAATCATACAGGGTTTGAAATAGAAATCCATATCGGGACTCGGCTTCGCCTCGCCCAATACGAATTTCCATTTCACATCCTGTATGATTCCGTCTTAGGTCACTTACTGACAGAGGTTGAAGTCTGTCACGCACTCAAAATATAAAATTACTTAGTATTCTTTTACTTATTTTAAGTAATATGATAACTTAATATGATTGTTATTTACTGACTATGATTGAGTATTACTATAAATTACTAAGTAATTGATCAATTACATAAAATTCCTAATTTTAAGTAAATTAATTACTTAAAGTATATTAAAATTCACTCAAAAATTAATTTAAGTAATTTTCAGTAAAAAAAAAATTACTTAGATTTTCATTATCGCCCATGAAAATATTTTTAATAATACAAAATATTAATAAAATGTTAATAAACAATTCTGCCTCAGAAAGTTTCTGTAACAATTAAATAACTTAAACATTAAGAGAAATAAAAATCTCAATTTACACCGTTTAAAGTAACTTAGTATAAATGTTTTAGATAAACTATTATAGATAATTAATGAAAATATAAGCAATCGAAACTAGAAATCAACATCCTCACGGCAATATAGATAACACAAGTTGACTATTAAATAGTCCTTCTTTTTTTTAAAATCTGTAAGGTCAGACATGAGAATTTGATCGGTCATCTTTTTAATCAGAGGAATAGTACACCTGGCCCCGAGACCATAAACTGAGAATAGACTTAAGTCAAAATTCACTTATCAATTTTGCTTAAAATTTTGCAATTTTAAATAACATTTAAATTCAAACATATTTTGAAAATTTTGTTTCATTATCAAAATTATTTCAAAAGTTATACTGGATTGAAATTTTGACTTAAGTCTGTTCTCAGTTTATGGTCTTGGGACCTGGGTCCGCCGTCATAAAACTTTGAGAAATCTCCAAAAAAATTTTCCAACTCAACTCTTGAGAATTACTCAGCTGAGAATTTGAGAATGAACGAGTTCAAGGTAAAATAAACTAGAAAAAAAAATTCATGTAACATCCTACCTGAAAAATTAAAATATATTGCTTTAAGGTAAGTCACTCGTCAGCTTTTTAGAAAAGTTCACGCAGAAGCTTTTACTTCAAAACTACTTATTAAAATTCAATTTTTATAACATTTTTAAATTCAACAATGTTAATTTTTTAACATTCAATGAAAAAACTGCTCAAAAATCTACAAAGAAGCAAGATTTATGAGGGAATATTTCTTTTGGTGGAAGAATATTTAGCAGAAAACTCTGCAAATCTGCACATTTATAAAATTTAATGTAATGGAAATTTAGCCTCACATACTTTTACTCGGAGAATATTTTCCGTTTTGATATTGCTAAAAATATTAAATATAGGTCTTAATATATATTTTTAGACTAAGTTTGACACCTTCCTCTAACAAACTTTTCCAAAAACTGAAAATATATTAAAAAAGTCAAGGTCAAATTTATACCATTTTTTGCCTGAAAATCACATATTTTGACAAATATTTCAAAATTAACATCACTGACCCCACCTTTTTCTTTCATTATTTTAAACTACTCAATGCTTGTGACTGATCAGCACTCAAGTCGTAAAAAGTTTGATATAAGAAAATTTTTTATTGCCTATAAAGTTTTTTAATACCCCAAATATGTTATTTTTTAGTGCAAAAAGGTCACACAATAATTTACGCGCATTAATTTGCAAGATTTGTTTAATGATAAATATTATTCAAACTATTTACGTAAAATAAGGTTATATCTATTGCCATGCTTACATCTAATCAAATATAATAAGGGTTAAAGTAATTAACCAAAGAGATGAAATTTAAGTGCAAAAAGGTCAACTTTAATGTACCGTAGATCAGTAGGATGCACACTGACCCCCTATTTTCTTTGCGATTTTGAGTTACACATTATCAGTACTTATCCAAAATAGACTTCTCAAAAAATCCTTGATATAACAAATTTCAGGATTGACTTACCTTAATAAAAAAAAAATAAAATTTATAACATTCAGCCTAGAGAAAAAAAAATAGATATAAAATAGTATTCTTATTATCATAAGAGATATAAACCGTACATTCACACGTTTTGCTGGAACGTACAATGTTTCGATTTATATCGAATAACATCACACATTCGATCTTTATCCCAATCTACGGATCAGTATGCCATTTTGATGGGTAAACGCGCTCACTCGTTAATCGCTAATCCTGATTGACGGCTCTACAAAGAAATGCTAAACGTGCGTTCGCTTTCTGGGAGAGCTACTTAATTTTGGATCCGCTATCTTGGTCCGCTTCGGGTTCGCTTTGGTTCCACTACGGGTTCGCTCGGGTTCAGCGTAGCAGACCCCTTGTGAACTCGAATGGACCCAGAGATCCTCTCCAGCTCCATTTTCTGTTAGATTGTTTCCGATCCTACTGTACATATAAGATTTTAAATAAATAATTTCATTATTTTACCTAAATGCCGCTTCTTTTTTTTAATCTGAACACTGCGCCGGATAATTATGCCACTTCAAAAGTGACATTTTGGAATTCTCCACATTCTCATTTCACATAAACCATTCATTTAACCTGTGTGAATTACTCCCCTAACATCACCACAAACTTATTCAAGACCCACAATTAGCAGACGGAATCGAAGTGCCTTGAATGTGTCAAGTTTGTCACAATAGAGGATCAAAGTTTTACACAGCAATTATATCTCGGCATTTATATAAGTTTTGATGTTACCAGTCTTATAAGTTTTGATGTAACTGG